TTCTGCCCCAGGGATGAAGTTCTGGAGTCGGGGATGAAGCTCACAGGTCCCAGTGGGGATGGACGGACCTGCACTCCGAGGTACCGGGCTCTGACCTCCCTCCCCGTGCACCCAAAACCACGTCAATGAAATCCCTTTGCCTGCCATTCCCATGGGACCAAATCCCCCTTTGCTGCTGGGTGGAGTACCCAGGGCTGCTTGGGCCGGGGAGGGTGACAGACATTACCTTGTCCCTTCGGCAGCCAACTCATCCAAATGCGGGGTCTCCTTTGTCTCTGCCCAGTTGGCCCCCAGATCCCCCCAGCCCACATCATCTGCCAGGATGACGATGAAGTTGGGCTGCCCGTACGCCGCACGGGGAGCCAAGAGTCCTGCCAGCACCGCAGCCATCACCAGCACTGCCCACGGGGAGGGGGTCCCCATGGTGCCACACGTCCCCTCCCACCCACGCTGCGGCACCGGTGGCTTCCTCTTCCCCAAACTCCCTCCACTGTGTCCCCGCGGATGCAGTTTTGCTCTCCACGGGCCCTCGCAGCGATGCAAACGTCCCCTCCGTCGTCCCCTCCGTCGCTGCTCCCACAAGGCCGGGCTGGGGGCCGGGAGGTCGGGGTTTGCTCCCTTGGCTACCGACCCAGCTGCAACGTCTCCTCTGCCTTTCACACCCAGGCACAGCTGATATTCCTGTGATCGGTGCCAGCAAAGGTGTTATTCTTAGAAGTCAAAAACACCCTTTGAAGTCACTGTCACCCTATTTTTAACTTTCCTTCCTTCCTGGTAAATATCTCATTAGACACCAAACCAAAGTGGTATTTTCCCCTCCAGAAGCACGCTCGATCTGCAGCAGCCGCTCCCCTTCCCTCACCGCAGCCAGGGGGATGTTTGTGTCCGACAAAGGGCCCTTTCCCTGCAGACCGCGCTCCTCGGCTCGCCGAAGCGCCGGCCCCCCCTGCTACGGATAAATAACTGCGGTGGCTCTGCCGGCGACTGTTGGTCCCTCCTTCACCTTGCGTGGCTACAGCATCCCCTGTGCAAGGGAAACAAGACACAGTCAGGACCCACCGGAGTGCTTCTGCACCCCAGCCCGGGGCAGAACACCTTATCCACTTGATGAGACTTTGCCTTTGAAGTTGTATTTTTTGCTGCCTGTCTCATGATGGCTCAGCTGGAAAGGACTGGAAACAACGAGCGCCCATTTCCCGCATCCATTGCTCGGGCTGGGGTGGTTCCCCGCGGTGCTGTCATCCCCGGGGAGCAGCGCTGCTCCCTCCCAGCTTGCCAAGGGCTCTCGCCCGAGCGCTGCAGGGCGCACAGCACCATGGCGGGGAATGTGCAGGACCTTGCCTTCCTTTGTAACAACTGACGAGTTTCTGGAGCTCGTTTTTTAAATTTAGTTCTGCTCACGCTGCCCCACTGCTGCTGCCGGACGGGAGCAGGCAGCAGCCCCGCTGCCGGGCATCGGTCACCGGGAGGGAGCCGCTCCTGGAGGCAAGAATGCAGGAATCCAGACAAACCCAGAAGGCAATAAACCCCAGAGATACGCAGGCTTACAGGATTAAGCACATACAGCTACTTAGGGCAGGATTTGGCCTCCACTGGTGGAGAGGTTCAAGGACAAACACCCCAAAGACCGACGGCAGAGATGGAGCTGTGAAGTACAATGTCTTGAGCCCAAAGTTATGGCCAAAGGGAGGGGAAGCTGCAGAGATTTGCCAAAACCCCACCGAGCCCTGCGTGAAGAGCTCTGCACCGACCGTGGGGATGGTGTGGGGACCTGCGCCTGGGTGGGGATGGCCGGCGACCAGTGGGACCCAGCTGGGACCAGCGCTGCGGTGGATGTCCCCAGTTGGTACCAGCAACCTTGGGAGGAACATGCCGTGGAGGATGCAGCTCCCATGGGATGGTCAACACAGCCAAGCGGGACAACATCCACGAAGACAAACTGGGAGGGCAAGGAGAGAAGGCAATACTGGAAAACACAAGAGGAGAAGGCGACAGGAGGAGGCAGGAGAGGAACACGATGAACCCCATCTGTAGACCAAGAGGTTTATAGCTGGCAAAGCAAATTATTCCCAGGTTTCACTGTTCACATCTTTAAAGGCTTTGGGCTGTCGCTCAGATCAACAGCTTCAGGACTGTCGGCGTAGCACTGCAGTGATCAGGGAGATGACGCCATTCATAATTTATAACCTGGAGCGTCAATTTATAAACTTCCACCTGAGGGCCTCGAGGCTCTCAGTACATTAATTAAGGGGGGCAGGATGCGGTGGGGGTGGGCTGAGCTGTGGGAGGGGGCTGAGCCACCGGAGAGGCTGCACTGCCCTGCCCGAACAAAGCACGGCTCCCATTCTGCACCCTACCTGCAAGCCCCAGCCTCCCTGAGCATCCTCCACGCAGGACCATGCCGGATCCCATCCCGTCCCCGGGGGGTGGCCCTGTACCACACAACATGCACCAGGGACCCCCCCATCGGCACCTGCAGCCACCCAGAAAAAACGGGCAAAACCCAAGGGAGCTGAACCCACGTTCACCCACAAACCTCTGTCCTTTCCGTTTACTGTGGGGAGGGACGCCAGGATGACACGGCTAACAAAAACAATCAAAACCATTTTCAAAGGACACTCGCTCCTCTCTAAATTGCAGGGGAAAGTCATCCAGGGCTGAAATCTATGCATTGGAGTCAGACAAAACTTCTTGATCTCTGATGCTCAGAGGCCGTTGGAAGGAGAGGGGGAACGCAGCCGGCAGAAGGTGGGATGTGCCGGCGTGGCTCTTGCCAGGCTCCTGCAGAAACGTCCCCGTCCACAGCACATCCAAACCCCGGTGGAGCACGAGTCTGTCTTTTGGCATCAGCTCCAGCTCCTTCCGAGCTCCTTGGCAGAGGAGGCAAAGGAGACCCTTTTCATCTCAAATTCCTGGGCGAGTCCTCCAGCAGTGCCAGGGTGGTCGTGGGCAGCCCCCCGGGACGGGCCCTGCTCCCCGCTTGCTGCCACGCCAGGACCTGCGCTTCACCAGCATCTCCGCTCCCCTATGGCATTGCTACAGCCGGAGCTGAAGGACCATCTTTTAGCTATTTTTCAAAAAAATAAGTGACTCAGAAGAGATTCCCCAGGCTGACTATGGTGGGAACATGGTTGTTGCGGCACCTCACTTCGTGCCAAGCAGGAAAAACTGCACCGGTGGTTACAGCTCCATGAGCTACCTGGGCAGAATCACACCCCAAAACCAAGGCCTCCGGATAATCGGTACCGGCACCGCGCTCCTCGCCGCTTGGCGCTGGGTCGCAACCGCCGGCATCGCTCGGACTGCATGCTGTGTACCCGGGCTTCACAGCACGCACCTTGGACCAGAGAAGAATTAAGCAAATAAAATGAAGTGCATTTTTGCAAGCCAGACAAGGTGGTTGACAGGAAGAGGAGGGATAAGTCAAAACCAGATAAACCAGTTTAGAAAAGCCCCAAAGCCTCTCCAACCAGCGCTGCCCAGGACACCCTGGGGCTGGGGAGGGGAGATGTCTCCTCGCCCAGGGATGGGGGATGCCACCGCCGGCTGTACCACCACTGACCACTGCCATCGCCCGCCCAGCGCTGGGAGTATCTGTCATGTATTTATTACACATTAACCAGAAGTTTACAAATCTTGGGGCCAGCACGATCATTTTCACATTTTTCACATTCTTTCACATTTTCACGCCTGCCTGGAGAGCAAAGCAGCAGTCGGCGCCCAGGGATGGGGGATGCCACCGCCGGCTGTACCACCACTGACCACTGCCATCGCCCGCCCAGCGCTGGGAGTATCTGTCATGTATTTATTACACATTAACCAGAAGTTTACAAATCTTGGGGCCAGCACGATCATTTTCACATTTTTCACATTCTTTCACATTTTCACGCCTGCCTGGAGAGCAAAGCAGCAGTCGGAGCCCGGAAAAACCTGCCGCCCTTTGAAGCACGCCCGGCTGTGCCGAGCTGATCCCCGCCAGCACCCGGGGCTCGCACCCCACCCAGGACATCACGGCTCTGATCTCCAGCCCAAACCCACGCCTGCGGCCCTGCTCTCCTGCCGAAAGCCCCGGCAGGCATCCCTGGCCCTGCTGCGAGGAGCGGGTAGATAAGGACGCAGTTGGGGATGAGGAATTCAGACTGGAGTGGGCCCCCGCTGTTATCCCAGGACCACCCCGGGGGGCTCTCAGCATCACCCCTCGCAGCAGCCGGACTGAGTTAGGGAAACTGAGGCAGGCAAGCAGAAGCGATCGCTCAAGCTGTGTGCTGACCTCACGGCTGCCAAGTGATGCAGGATGGGGACATGCCCCCACAGCGTGGCCCATGGCACTGACTCTGACCCCACCGGGGGATGCCCAGCCACAGCCTGGAGGAGAAGGATGGTGGCACATCCCAGCCGGGACAGCCAGGCTTTCAGGGGCGAGAAAAAAAAAATATCTGTGTTTCGTTTCCAAATTAACCATGCACAGGTTTTGGTCTTTTCTTGGAGCACAGCAAAGGGCAGCAGGTGCCTTGTGAGGGGTCTGTCGGTGGGGCAGAGGGTGCGTGAGCTCTGCGTTTGCCCCGTTAGACCTCCTCGGCCCCGGCATGTTTACCAGCACAGCTCCGTTCCCGGTACAACTGTCCTGACAATGCTCTGAACAGAGTCAAGACTTTATTCCAGGAAAAGGTTTTCTACTGGAATAGTTTATACTAGTTCCCCTAACAGAATAAGCAGCATGGACAAAAACATACTTCTGCTGATTTACTAGGATTTCTGCCAGCTCCTGAGACAGGAGAATGTTTTTCACCCATCTAACTGCTAGGTCTTTCAGAGAAAACATTACACATGCCGAGCAGGGCTGGGCGAACCCCAGCAGAATAAATGAACTGGAAGTCCCTGACCCATCCGGCGGCAGAAAGCAGGGGCCCGCGCTCCCTTTCTGTTCGCAGCCCGCCCTGTTTTCCAGCTCCCGGCTGATTTATGCCCGCTGACGGGACACTTGCTCTCTCCTTCGGTATGGTTTACAGAGCCCTCAAACACCGGCCACGCACCCGGGCTGGGAGTGCGGCCGAAGTCCCCGGGAAGATGGAGAAGCCCATCCTGGTGCGAGCCGCAGCCAGGCACGGGACGGACCTGGTTTGGATGTGCCGGGGCAAAGCATCCCGGCAAGACACAGCCAAGCCCTCTCCGAGGCCAGGCTGCAGCAGGGGAAATCCCCCCAAAGTGGGCAAACAATATGGGGGAAAAAGGATTTTACAGCGGAGCTGGGAAGCCCTGGGCCGGCGAGGCTGCAGCCGCCAGCCCCATCCCTCCCACGGGGCCCCTCCAGCCCCCATCGCTCCCCAAAGCCTTTATTGCGCTTGGAAAGCCCAAAGGAAAGGAACGGGAAGGTGAAGCAGAGACAGATGCAAAGTACTGACAAGAAATACCAAGGAGTAAAT